TATATATATATATATTAGTAATTGCGTATACAAAGAGACGCTGAGCATTTTCTTTGGGCATTTTTGTCTTAAAAACTTCCCGGCAAAACACATTAAATCTGACTTACGAATAAATTATAATATTATCAAATAAATTCCTTAGAACTACACAGTCATTAAGCGCTTAACGACTGCTTCGTGCAAAGAGTCGTGTTAGTTCTATTCAGTATAGTCAACCTGACAGGTAAGCAAAATTTTCAGATAACAGTTCTGTACTCATCCATTGTGTTATGAACATTATGCATAAAATATAGGCTCTACCCCACTTTTCAAATTTCAGTTTTATCTCAATAGTATCGGCAACTTAATCAGCGGAACCAAATCTAGGTTATTATAATAAAAATTTAAACATTTTTTTCCAAATTTTGATCAAAACAACCTGTTTAAAAAAATGAAAATGATAATGATACAAACACGAAGCTATTAAGCAGAGAGCAGAGCTCAAAAGAACAAATTTAACTAAACAAACATTTTTTACATTTATGAACAAATTTAAATAACTTACAAGTGCATCGCCACCTGACACAAGAAACTCTAATTTTTGAAACTTGTTCTCTTCTAGATTTTCACCTAATAACGACTGGTAGACCAAAGGAGCAGATGCTAGAGTATCGATGGGGTACTTGCAAAGTGTCTTCAGTTGCATGAAAAATATATTATAAATCACTTTCATACCACTATGTAATGCATTATCATATAAAGACAAAATGCAGTATATACTTTTTTTGTATTAGCACAGAAACAGAGGATGATGTATGTCATGAATTTTATTTACACTACTTAAAATTCGTTCATCATTGTGAAATCTTTAAAAATATATAACTTATTTCTTAATTTTTTATAATAGCACAGTGTAGATTTTGACAAAAATTCTTGAAGAATAATTAAGATTTAAATTTATAGACCTTATAAAGGAAACTGCAAATGGTTACATTATTTTTTCCAGATTTACACAACCATAATGCTACTGTGTATTACACTAAGGCAACCAATACTGCCCAGGAGCAACAAAAAATTATTTCTTTCAAAATTTAAAAAAGAGAGAGAGAGAGAGAGAGTAAAAGATATAGTATGCTAAAAACAAAATAATAATGTCTATTAAGAGTTTAATAACGTTCGATGCATACTAAAAATATAGAAGTTCATTAAAGAACAAAATAATAACAATATTTAAGAACTTAATGAGAAACGCTGCATTGATTTTCTGAGGGGTGCATTCTGGAAGCCTCCAGACATTTGATCCCTGTCTTAAGTAAGTAATAAGCAACACGTGATCTTTTCAGTTTGTGACGTGGCAAAATAATTATTAGCCGGGCTTATAACGGAAAGGTAAGTATTTGCATCAACTGTGTACCAAACACCGACTTTGCTTGTTTCTCACAGAAACACAACCAAACAGAGCCCAAACAAAACCAATTGAATATCTTTAAAAGATCGTTAAAAGTTGAGAGAAATATTAACATAAAAAGCACGACAGTTCAGTAAGTTGCTCATTATCTATGATTAAGGGGATTGGACTAAGTTGGTGCTGCCATCGATTGGCAATAAATTGAAATTACTTCTAACAATATAGTATTCGATTCGGAAATTATGAATTATATTTTTCGATTTATATGAAGACCACATGAACTACAAAATGAGAGCTATTAAGCCGTTCCGCCTGGGGGTAGACTGTTGTGCAGGCTTGATCTATTTAAATATAACAATATGAAGTTATAAAAAACTTAATTAAAGTGAAGTCGAAGAATTTTTATAAATAGAATTTCAAAAGTTTCGCATTAATATAATTAGAATTTTAAGTAGAATTAGAATAGAATTTTAAACAGAATTAGAATGTTATGAAGAATTACGATTTAAAATAAACTTTAAGTTTTAAATAGAATTAGAATTGAATTTCTAATAGAATTAGAATGTAATTTTAAATGGAATTGGAATATTTCCTTAGCTAAAGAAGATTGGCCAATCAAATTCTTAAGATATTTAAATTGTATATTTCGTTGAATGTGGATAAGTAAAACTATATCTGCACAATGTGAATTTGTTTAATAGAAAAAAATAGCGGTTTAACTCTTTCATTCCGGTAGTGTCTGGGATTACAAGCTCCCCTGTTACGGCAGTTTTCAGAAGGAAGGTTTTTCACTTGAACTCGACCACAGTTCCCTCCCAGTGAGGGTAGTTAAGGGGGTGTAAACGATTCTCCTTTCTCTTNGAGAGTCACGAAACAACACCTATCCGGAGTTTGCATGTAGATGTTTGTTCGTGACGCTTCGGATATAAGGGGTTAAAGCTAGCACCATAAAACATTGGATGAAAATTCCACAAAATAGGATATACTTGCAATATACGAGGGTTGTCCATAAAATAAGGTTCCCAACGAATTTTCACAATGAAAAACACGTTTATTGGCATTGAATAATACATGTTTGGAAAGCTTAGACTTCCCTCTTTTTTTCGACATAATCGCTGTTAAAATCAATGCATTTTTACATGCAGTGCACCATCTTCTTCATGCCTGAGTCGTAGAAATCTGCCGCCGAGCCGGGAAGATAGCTTGAAACCTCATCCTTCAGCTCTTCGTCGGTTGTGAAATGCGTCCCTCCCAAGTGTTTCTTTAATTCAGGGAAGAGATTGTAATCACTGGGGGCCAAGTCTGGGCTGTAAGGGGGGTGTGTGACAGCATTCCATTCAAATCTGTTGAGGAGATCAGTTGTGACACGGGCGGTATGTGAACGAGCGTTGTCCTGATGGAGACACACTCCAATTGTGAGCATGCCTTTTCTCTTGTTTTGAATCGCGCACCGAAGGTTCTTCAACGTCCGACAGTAGCGATCCGCATTAATTGTTGTGCCCGTAGGCAGGAATTCGCACAACAGCAACCCTTCCCTGCCCCAAAAGACATTCGCCATCACTTTGCTGGCTGACCGAATTTCCTTAAACTTCTTTGGCTTCGGCGAGCCTGGATGTTTCGACTGACAGGATTGTTCTTTTGTTTCCGGTGTCATGTAGTGAGCCCAGGTATCGTACCCAGTGACAACAGAGTCCAAAAATTCCTCGTCATCGGTTTCGTAGGCATGGAGAAATTCGCGGACTGCTTCCACACGTTGCTGTTTGTTGTCATCCGTCAGCATTATCGGGACCCACCTTGCACAAACCTTGGCATATCCTAAGCGGTCTCTCAAAATGTTGTGAATGCAGGACTTACTGACATCAGGGATCATCTCGCTGGGGTCCCGAACCGTCACCATCCGATCTTTCAGCATTGCTTCTTCCACTTTCGCAATCGCTTCGTCTGAAAACGATGGCCAGCCAGAATGTTGTTCATCATGGTCGTCTGTACGTACGTCTTTTAATTCTCTGCACCATTTGCGCTCATGTTGCACACTCATACACTTTTCCCCGTGAGCTTCACACAGTTGGGAGTGAATGTCCACCGGAGGAACGTTTTTTGCACACAAAAACAAATCACAGAGCGTAATTCACACCTGGCGGGAGAAACAAATGGAAGCTCCATCTTTCAAGGCTACCAAGACAAGAATTAACGTTGTAGATAGTTCGCCGGGGAGGGAACTGGGGAAAATGGAGCCAAGTTACACGCCAGTCCCACCCAACCCCGCTTAACAGCGTTCCTAACGTCCGCAGCTCCTTGGGAACCTTATTTTATGGACAACCCTCGCATATATATATATATATATATATTAATAACATGTTTTAAGTCTCAAGCCAGAAACTGTTGCAGTATCCTCACTACTGAGTCAAACTCCCAAACAACAACTGCCCCCTGACGCAGTTGTGAAATGAGACTATGATACTTCAACTTCTACTAACCAAACTTTGAACTGAAGTGAACTGTAGTTTTGTTAAGATATAAACATTCACGCACAAGTTGTTCACGAGATGTTGTTCATCTGTTAAACATATTTTTCTCACTCGCAATCATCGGCGAGATATCCTTTTTATTTTATGTAACCTTTAATTATTTAATTTTAATTACATTAAAATGTAATATTTTGGATTAATTATTATTTCATGTCTACTGCATAAATGACAGGATTGGACTTCGTGTTCGGGTCTGAACCTGTAGTGGTGACCCTTGTAAAATTTATTTTAAGCATGCAGTAGCGACAGAGGATCTCGTTACATCCTTGATTTAATTGAAATCTTTCACGCTTAGAAACTTTCAATGAATTGCGACGGTGCTAAAGCTACCAAATAAATCTTCATTTCGTGCACGAATGGATAATTTAGCATGTCTGATATTCTCCGCCTGATGATTGGTTGATCCATCGCCAAAAGCCTCTCCAATACAAGGTAAGACCTTATATCTGTCCATTTTCTTATCAATTATTTGAGCTTTACCATGCCGAACAACGATACCCAACAAACGCAGGTTAGCAGAGTAGGGTTAAAATTTCCTCCCTTTTGTGACAAGCACGCGATACTTTGGTTCGCTAATATAGAAGCACAGTTTATGGTATCCGGCATAACTCAAGATGATACGAAGTTTTATTGCGTGGTATCGGCCCTTGCCTCCGACATCTTCAATTATGTTAGCGATATCGTGCTCTCGCCGCCAGCCACGGACAAGTATGCAGCCCTCAAATCGCGATTGATAAGCGAATTTTCGGATTCTGAACAAAGACGAATAAAAGGGGTACCTTTTCATAGATGAAGATTGGACTTCGTGTTCGGGTCTGAACCTGTACTGTCATTAACTGGTTTGCTGGTACACCGTACGTATTATTTTAATTTGATGCCAACCGGTTTATCTGATGACATTTTTGTCAAAATGTTGATAAAATATTAACCAGTTATGTTATGGATTAATGTTTTTATCATGTTTATTAATAAGCATTAATTAATGAATTTATTAACAGCCATCAATTATTACACGCGTTTTCTTTTCACAAACATTGTAATCATGCAAAAATATGCACAATTTTCGAGTATCTTATAAAACAAATGTACCATAAAAAAATTTCATCTATATCAGTGTTTAATTTTATTCTAAAATAAGAGAGTTTTATTATTATTTAACAATTAAAAACTTACCTCCAGGGTCTTTTTAGATGAGAATTTAGATAGTTGATGAATAAACAAACAACCTCCCATTGACCATGCACCAAAGAAGTTGTATGCCGTAAAACTCCAGCCAGTGTCAGCCATACTCCACACAATGTTATCAGGAGTAAGATCCAAACCAAATCTAAAATTCGTGGGAAATATCAAATTAAAAACATTGCCTCCAATAATAAATTTCAAGCTTTACATAATAATCATTTACGTTAGGGCGCTTTTTCATTACACGACACGATAACGACAAAACGGATCCGATTGTCGGCGAACGACATAGGGTCAAGTAAAATACATGGTCAGCAACGGAGCGCTTTTTCACTCACCGATACGATAACGATTATGTCGTTAA